TGTCTCTGCCACATCAGAATGAAGACAACATGTTGAAAGGAGGTTGACAAGACAAAGTTCACTTGTGCAGAAGGTCGTATCACTGACAAGAATACAAGTATGTAAGCCCACTGGACAGAAAACTGCAGATTTTATCCCTAACACAGTACTGTCCCTCATTCTGGTTGTTAGAACTTAGTTTCACAATTGAGCCTGACTAGTTCGAAGAGGGTCAAAAAGGTTAACACAACCCCAAGACAGGGACACAAATGATTTTTTCCTTCTTGCTATTGTTTTTAATGTACCTATAATGCACTATGTGATTCTTTTATTTCTTTTGTATGTTCTTCCCCCATGGTATAATCCCTGTTTTCACTGTATTTGATCCTGGTGTACTACATCTTATATATACATTTTTATAATTTGGGGAGGAGAAGGGATATAACAAAATGCTTAAATAAGGATACAGGTTGATCCATTGTAACAATGAGATGTACAAGGTACTATGTTGAAAATGAACTTTACAACTGTGGGGGGAGAGGAGTTGGGGAGTGGGGAGGGAAGGAATAGTAGGGGAGAAACAAAGGAGGAGGTAACAATGCTCATAGGACATGTACTCATTACCTTACTCATGTAACTGTAACCCTTCTGTACAGTATTTTTATAATAAAAATTATATATGAAAAAAATTAACAAGATGTGGCTGTAATTAACAGGAACAGGCTCTGTACATCACCTTTACAATAAAATTGAAAAATGAAAAAAAAAGGAATAAGGGCCAAAATACAATTAGCAGGGGCCCAATCACCTGGCCAATGCAGGAAACAAGATGTAGCTAACAGGATTTTGCTTAATTAAAATAGCTTTTTGTTTCAAACTGAAGTTTACAAGGTTGACGGAAAGGAACTAATGACTTCTGACTGGAAATATTTTGGTTCTTACAGCTACTAGAGGAGACACCCTAAACCCAAAGGCCTTGCTGGCACACAGACGCCAAAAGGAGAGCCAGAGTGCCTGTTCTGAGGGTCCTGGAGCTGATTTCTGGCTTAAAACCTGAAGGAGCTTCAGCATTCCCTCCATTCTCCTCCCTCCTTTGACCAATTTCTTAGTCTTTTGCTTCCTGCCCAAGTGTGTGACTCATACAAACCCTTTACTAGTGCTAAGATAAAACCACTCAGTACTATTACGGTTCTTCTTTCCACTTTATTTTGTATCTATATTTTTTATTTCTTGCCCCTTGGATTTTTTTAAATTCTTAGGTGAGATGAAGCAAGAGACAGAGCTAGGGAATTCTCCAGTCTATCTGATCCCTTCGCTGTCCCATTTTAAGTAGATACTTTTACAAGGCAGTACTCTCAGAACATACTGGAAACTGAAGACTAGATCCCCGGCCTGAGCTCAAAGCTTCTCCTTGGCAGGGGCTGGGGCTGGAAGATAGCAAAAGCCAGCTCCCAGCCCAGTGTCTGTCTACAGGGTGAGAGCCTCCATCTCTGGCTATCCTCCGCTCCCCTGTGCCTGATTCCAGCCCTGTAGGTGGATTTGATCCTTGGTAAGTATGTGATATCGTGAGCTTTGTCAAAACTTCTAAAAATCATGTCCTCCATAACATCTGGAGTGTCCATCTGAAACTGCAAAGTGAGTCACCTGATTTGAAATGGAGATAAAACATTACTTAATACTGTGAGAAAGGGTTAAACTGTATGGGAATCCAAAAATCTGACCTCTGGTCCCAAATCATCATATTGTATAAACTTGAGGAAGTTAACGTTAGCTCTTTTTGTGTGCTTGACTCATCTTTTTCCTGCCATGAGGCAGGAAAGGCCTTGAATGAGGATAGGGGCCATGAGCCCTGGATCCAATAGAACCCAACATTCCATAGGGAATTTCTTACCAAAATCAAGGCCAAAGCCAGAAAATACAATATTATATTTTACCTAGGGTGGCTACAGAAGATCTCTCTGATAAAAAAAAAAAAAAAAAAAAGACATTTGAGCAAAGTCCTGAAGCCAAAGAATTGGAAGTTGGATCAATACCTACATGTTGGTTCAATCCACCAAACATTTAAAATCTGCCATATGCAATCACCGGCAAGGCAATAAGAAGATGAGTTGCCTTGTGCACAATGGGATGCCATCAGAAGGAAATGCATGTGTTTCAGAGGTTCCTCTGGTTGTTGCACAAAGGACAGATGGCTGCAGGGATCTGATTGCAGGCTGCTGTCTCACTCCAGTTGACAGAGGAGGGAGCAGAGAACAAGAGCAAGGGCAGATTAAATCAGGATGTGTCAAGATGATTACCACAATGAGACCAGAGTTTCATTTGTGCTGACTATGTGACTTACAAGTGGATCATCCTGATGAAAGTCCAGGATTAGGAAAGATGAGCTTCCTCAGGTGCGAGCTTCATTCAACAAGTATTTAATAGGCATCCCCTATGTGCCAAATACAGGGCGGTTCAGGGAGGCTCTAGAAGTGAAACAAAATCTCTGCTCTTCCTGTGAGTTCGCATTCCAGAAGGGAGAGAAATAATCTACAAAGAAGCAAATAACACAAATACGGAAGGGGCTGGGAGTAGGGGGACTGGCTAACAGGGGTGGGTTCCCTAGAAATCAGAGTCTCTTACAAGGAAGTTCATGGCTAGTGCTTTACCAGGAGAGGTGCAATTTCAGGGAAGTAAAAGTGAAAGAATGTAGGAACTGAGGTAGGGAAGGCAGGAAAACAAATAAAAGCTGATTATCAAGATGACCAGCTTTGCAACAAACACCAACCATGTCCTCCATCTCTCTCCAAGAGACAGTCATGAAAACATTGCATCTCAGAACAGGATGGTAGAGAGAGAGGAAGGATGAACAATTAGACTTTGATGTCTTCCTATATCCCATATTCTTCTGTTTTAAGTCTACTCTACAGGGCATTAACTGTCATGTTATTTGAAGGTTGTGTCACCTTGTCCCTCTGGGCAACCACTGGCCAAAGCTTCCTCAAGTTCCTTTGGGTCAAAACTGGGAGCAATCTGCTACAACTCCTTTCAGAGTAAATGATATAAAAGACATGCCTAAGACCAACTGTCATCTCTAGGGAAATAGAGGCAACTGGTAGTATTAGAAGATGAAGTGATGGTAGGGACATTCACAGAGTAGGTTGTCAGTAAGGCCTCTCTAGATTTTGAAACAGGCAATAGGCTCAGGGGACAGGATGAAAGGGATTAAGAAAGATTGCTCTATTCAGACGTTGATTAAGCAGAGAGCCAGATGAAGTATGGCAGAGGGAAAAGCTAGCATCAAATCCTTGATCTAGATCCATGGTCAGTTGGTTTGGGGAAAACCAGAAATAACAGTGTGAGCAGGCTGAGCGAGGCAGGTGAGGAAGCAAGTGGTAGAAAGAGGCCATGGTTACAGCATGAATCCTGTTCTGAGAGAAGTCATTGGTAAGTCTTGCACTGATTATAATTAAAAGGATGATCGCTTCATATGCTGTGTAGAGAGTCTAAGGAAGCAAAAAGGAGCCAGTGGCAAAGAGAGACAATGATAACTTGGCCCAGACTGGCAGCAGCAGTCTGAACAAATCCAGCAGTCAGTACTAAAACACCAATAGGATTTGCCAAAGTCCTAAACTGAGAGAGTACGGTAGCTACGTAGGCTAATGAACTTCTACTTACACAGATAAAAAGGACAAAATTGGGAGGGGGGGATAAATGGAGCCATGCACTGAGTTTTGCATTTCTTCATCTCAGATGCTTTTGGAATACCTCAATGAAGACAGATAGCATTGGGACAGAATGGGACTGACATGCAAATTTGTAAAGCCACCTGCATCTAGACAAGGTCTTGCCAGCCTTCCGTAGCAGAGAAGTTTACCTTTCCTGATCCATTCCTTTGCATCCTAACTTTGCTTTGATTTCTGATATAATCATCTCTGCCTTCTGTCAGAGGAAATGTTAACAACAGGTTTTCTTCCCTGAGATAAAACTTCCTTAGCTCTTTTAACTTGCACATAACGCTGAGAAAAGGGACAATGATCATGCAGAAAATCTGAGTCTAGTTGAAGAAACTCTGATTTCCTCTCACAGACTTGTTTCACTGCAAGAAATAAAGCATGAGCTGCTGAATTTAGGAATCTTTAACTCATATTTTTAAATCCCAAGCCATAGTGTTCCTTATAACTCCCATGGTCTTCTAAGATAATGATGCTATGTTTTATGAGTTTTGATGAAGAAGCAAGTATGTGTCCATTCAAAGACATCATTATATCATATAGTTTGTAAAATAAAAGTAAAAGGAGGGCAGTGTGATATCACACTACAATATCTACATAAGTCATCCAACTCAGTTGTCTACTGTAGTGACCATTCATTGCTCTTGTTTGTAGAGCATCTCTAAATCCATTGCTCCCTGCCTTCATCCCTGGGCTTGAATGAGGCCGATCCTTCCCCCAGTGGGTATGAGTCACAAGCCAAAGTCGGTAAGTGCATTCAATTCCCTGGGACAGAATGGAACTCACGTTGACTTTGTGTAGATGTTGCCTAGGGGCTGGGTACTCTCTTTAACACTAAAGCTACAGGATTATTCACCCCACTGGGCCCGGCAGAGGTGGAGACCGAGAGGGAGGGTCGCGAGCATGGAGAGCCGCTAGTCATCACCAAGGAGACCCTAGCTACACGCCAGCACCTTTTTAAGGACTCCAGGTAATTCTGCCAGCATCCCAGGTTGAGTGCAGCCTGCTTTGATCTTCTGCCTTATGAAAGTGCTCTTCTCTTCGCTGGGGTGCTCCGTTTCAGCTTTCCAAGTAGAGGCTATAGCTCTGCCTTTAACTTCAAAAGAACATCTCCTTGACGGAAGAAGGAAGTAAAGCTCCAACTGTGGACAAGCTACTGGCTGGACATGAGATCATGGATATTAATGACATTGGCTTTCAGAGTACAGTCAGGAAGCGATTTGCCTCTTGAGAGGGTCCCTTAAGACCCTCAAGCTAGTGGCCAAAAGTCATCTTAGCGAGGGTCTGGGCAAAGGTGTGGCTGGCATCATGTCCGGCTGTGAAGGTGCGAAGAAGAAGCCCCCCAAACAGCCCAAGAAGCAGGCCAAGGAGATGGATGAGGAAGAGAAGGCCTTCAAGCAGGAACAGAAGAAGGAGCAGAAGAAACTCGAGGAACAGAAAGAGAAGGCTGTGTGGAAGAGACCCCTGACCACAGGTGGAATTAAGAAATCTGGCAAAACAGTAAGCTGTTCCTTGTCCCTGGGATGATGGAAACCCTTGATTCCATTCCCATTCAACATCTGGATTTCCTGTCATAACATCTCTGCCACCTGTAGGTAGAATGAACTTTAGCTCTGAACACTAAGAGCTTTTTTAAAAAAGAAAATCCTACAGTGGCTCAGTCTTTAGTTTGTGAGCCATTGTGTCAAGTAAGCTTAGATTCCTGCTGGAGTCTGCTCTTTGTTCTACTCTTGCATTCTGTATCATCTTGAAATTAAGCCAACTCATTTTAAAGGCAAAAAAAAAAAGTCATCTTAGCATGACTTTGTTCCTGGTGATATAAATCTGACTTACATCCTTCCAGATACAAGTATTTATAAAATTTGAAATAAACTCTGCTATGAAATTAGTGGTCAATGATTTCAGGGAAACTATCATATTAAAAAATATATATTTTTGACCACACTAAGGTTTGAACTCAAGGCCTAGGCAGGCACTATACTACTGAGCCAAACCTCCTACTTTGCACTATTTTTGCTTAATTGTTGTTTTGGTGTGAGTCTTGGGGCTTGAACTCAGGGCTTGGCACTGTCCTTCAGCTTTAATGTGCTAGAACAAGAAAAATCAGAAAAGGGGAAAATTCAATGTAGTTAGCAGAAATAGGGCAAAACATTTAAAGCAGAACCTATTTGTAGAGAGAAACTCCAGGTTAATTATTAAAAGGAAATTCGCATGGGTAGAGACTCAGAGCAAATTAGGGAGTTGAACAAGTATAGTAAATAACAGTGAAACTGAGAAAGAGCCAGGAATCCTGGAAGGTGGTTTGATTTTGGGTGTGATAAGTAAGAAGTTAGGAATGTGTTCCGATAATGCCAGCTAAACCTTTATTGGGAAATGCCAGCTAAACCTTCATCAGGAATGAAACAAAGTGGGAACTGGGAATGTGGTTTTTGCTTTGATTGAAACTGTAATTGCTAACTGCTAGTTCTGCTCCTCCACACCAGCTTGCTATCATTTACACTGCCACCTACATGTGGCTTGTTTATCCCCTAAAAACCCTGCTGAGAGTTTGCCTGCTGTTCTTCACTATCCCAATAGTGGAGAGCATTCACCTCGTGGTTTATAAAGATTCCTAGCCCTACAAAGAAGAAAAAAAAAGCTACAGGATTATGAACCTGGGGTTACTAGCATCCATCTTGCCTGCAGGAAAATTATTGACTAAGTTTGGAACTTACTCCAAGGAAAGCAGAGCAAATGGCTAAGAAGAGATAGGATTTTGAATTTAGCTGTATCCGAAGCCAAAGATATGAAATCAAATTTCCATTTTGCGCAGATCAGTTTAAATTGTCTTAGTTTTAGTTTACCTTTATTTTTGTTTTGTCCCTAATAACAAAAAGATTCTTAAATGACTCATCCTTTCTGAATCTGGGTATATAAACCTCTAAAATAAGGATGTTGAAACTCTACAGTATTTCTCATAAAGATGCCAATTCTCATTTGGGGTTTTGCTCTTGTTATAAAATGTAAGAAACATAATTCAGTCTTCACATAGTCAGGTACCTAGTACATTCCAACACACCACACACACACACACACACACACACACATTCAATTTCCAAATGGAAATTCCAAGTGGAATGGTTGTACTCCTACATGAAAACCAATAAACTAGAAAGCCTCTAAAACCTTTATAATCAAGTTGAAATTAGCCATGTTGTATACAAAAACTTAACCTCCCTAGATTCTTCTTTTATATATGAATATATATGTTTTTATTATAAAAATACTGTACAGAGGGATTACAGTTACATGAGTAAGGTAATGAGTATATTATCAACTGGGAATAATTTAATTTCTGCATTTGATTTCTTTGAAAAATGAAGCTATTCATATACATAATGTAACATTATGGCTAAATTTATCAAAAGATTATTGCCATAAATTACTTTATGTGGAACAAGTCTAGCATAACTGAAAATGGATTCTTCCCTTCCCAAGGGAAATATCCTGAACGTTTTGGGATGCCTTGGTTGCATATCATTTTCCCAATTAAAAAGGCTAGGGGGAAATATAACAGAAATGTTAAGTGATCTTTTCATATCCTTACTCTTCTATCAATAAAGTATTAAAATAATCTTCATTGCCCTATGCAGCCATTATTTTTCTAGACTTCTTTAATTATGACTCCAGCAAGATCCATTGGCTTAAGGACTATGTGGCTCATTTTTACAAGGAAATGCACCCAAATATTCCCACACAACCAGCTACAGAACAACGTGAAATTGATGGCTGGGAGTCAGCAGCGCTCATTGACTTCTCCATGCTTCTGTGCATAATTTACTATACATCATTCTATGTTAGCCAAAACCACAAATATTAATCCTTGAGTGTACCTTGTGTTCCCACAGTGCTAAGGAGGTAGAATGAGGTTTCCCATGCTATTTATAATTTGTCTGCTTTTAAATCTATTTTTATGTTACCTATGTAATCTTTGTGAACTTGAGTGTATTTTTTTTTTTTACTTTAAGCCATATTGCTTTTCCCTCTTGGCAACTATGTGCTCTTACTATTAGTTCTCAGACAAATGGTCTAAATTCCCCACTAGCAAATTTGGATATGCCAGGAGAATGGGCTGAGTTCCATGAATTGCCTTTGAAATATGAGCACAATAAGATGACTTCACTTTGCGTGAGCAAGCCAACCAAATTCAGACTGAGGGATCCAGTCATGACACAGACAGTCCTTTCATCCCAGCTCTCTTCCACACTGTCATAAATTATTGCTGCTGGATCTATTGCCAGGAGTCTGGGGCCAATTTTCATATGTAGGATTTGAGGGGTATCTTCAAAATCCACCCCACTCACGCAACTAGCTAACCATTCTCTCCAAAGCAGTGGCTTTACATCATGACATCTGCCCCCTTGCAACAATGCAATCATTTTTTTGTAATCTGAAGGCTGAAAAAGACCGTCAATGTCAGAGAAGTGAAGCAGAAGGAGGAAGGAAGGAGAGGAAGCCAAACCACTTCAAAACCACTTTTAGAGTTCCAAGATGCATACAAAGTTTCCCTGAAGGAGAGACTGATTGTAAAACATTGTATACAGGTGTGGAAATGTCACCGTGCAATCTCCCCCACTTGTATAGGTTATAAAAAATAATGTGTGCTAATAAAAAAAAAGCAGCAAAAAAAAGAAAGGGGGAAAACATTCTTGAAACAAAATGGGGAACTCTCAGCCTTTCCTACTTTCATCTGTGAAGTCAAAAATTTGACAGACTGAAACCCCTCTGTACATCACCTTGTCAGTAAAAAAGAGAAAAAAAATAACAGAAAGTGTGGCTACAAAGAAAAACAATGTCTTTGTGAAGAGCAAGTGTCATGGCTATTTAAGGAAGTCATTTCTTCCTTTGGCTTTGTTTTAAATGATTGCAGCTTCTAGTCTTCTTCATCTTCTTTCTATTTCCTTTATCTCCTCAAACTTAGATCTTATTTTTTTAAAAACTGAGATGTGAGGGTCAGCAGACTAGATAATGACCCTCACGTATGGCCATCTGAACACAGACATGGAAGTATCCAGTCTTGTCCACCCTCCCTTGAGGTAAAGTAATCACCTCCAGCTGGGTCAAGTGGATGTGGCAAATGTCCCATCTTCACATGACTTTGATGCAGCACCATAATGAACGTATTTCTTTGATGGAAGAAAGATGCTTCGTGAAATAAACTGTTTAAGGATTTGGAGCTGGAAACATGCGCTGCTTTGTTCTTTTGACAATTGAGTTCGCTATCTAAAACATTTCTCCATTTTGAAGGCTCTGTCTTTTCTCTTCCAGCCACAGCCCTCCAGCTACAATAACAGGCCCATGATTTTTCTTAGATGCCAAGGTTATGAATACTCTTTTATGAATATTTTGCTTTGAACTTGCTTCTCTCTTGCAAAAGAAAAATAGCCCTATGTATTGCAGGGTTGACAGTAATAGGCAGAACATACAAATTGTTCTCCTAGGAGCAGTAAAATGTTCCAAAATGCACATACAAAAAAATTCTAAATAAAACATAATGTTTATGGAACACTGGCTTTTGCAGCTATAATTTTCAAAAAGTAATATTTCTGATTGGCATGAATTATTCAGAACATATTTCAGAGATTAATATCAAAATTAATGCCATAAAATGTCTCCCTTTATGACCATGATTGCTTTTCTCATATTAGTGCAGACTTTTAATGAACAGAATTTTGTATGCAATTCCAAAGCAAGAGAACCTTCATTGGATTAAGCTGCTTTGGTTTTTACTTTTCCCTTTATACCATTTCAACATATCCTCCGACCTCCTTTAAAAATAATTCGATCCATGCCAACTCAACAGATTATAGTAGATCTCCTATTAATTGCATTCTGCCTTAAAAAAGAGCTTAACATTTCAGCCTGTAATTATATATGTAGTTCTGTCCACTAATGTTTAGGTTAATCATTAAAACTTACTCTCATACTTGCTGTTTATCATCAGTTCAATCACTTATCATTAGTGAAACCAGCTCTTTTTCGGTATTAAACAGAATGTCTTCCCTGAACCCCTTTCAATGTTTTTTTTTCCCATCCCAAAAATTAATCTCAAAATCTCAGCTCCCTTTAATCCTGCTTGGTGGCTTAGATTCTCTAGCCCTGGAACCACTTACATAGCTTTTTTTTCATAGCCACAGAAATGTAAAAATAGCCATTGCTAAAGCAGAGAAATAATTCTGCTTAATCCATGTACTTTTGATGCCTAACAATTTGACAGGTGACTTATAGCAACAAATTTTATGAACACTTCTTCAGACTGATAAAATGACCTATAAAAATTTCTAGATACAATTGCTGCTTTGCATTTTGATATTAAGAATATTCTAGGATGCCAGATGCTGGTGGCTCATACCTGTAATCCTAGCTACTCAGGAAACCTGAATAAATCAGTTCAAAGCCAGACAGGAAAGACAAATCCAAGAGACTCTTATCTCCAATTAACCATCCAAAAGAACCAGAAGTGGAGGTGTGGCTCAAGTGATAGAGGGCCAGCCCTGAGTGGAAAAAGCTAAGGAGAACACAAGGCCTTGAGTTCAAGCCCCAGTACCAGCACCAAACAAAACAGAAGACTATTCTAGATCCTGGAGCCAGTCGTTCACATTTATAATCCTAGCTATTCAGACAGCTGATGAGGATCGTCGTTCAAGAACATCCCAAAAAGAAAAGCTTGTAGATTCCATCTACAAAAAGCTGAAATGGTGACATGGCTCAAGTAGTAGAACACGAGCCTAGCAAACATGAGGCTCTTTGTTCACACTCTAGTACTGTCCCCCCTAAATACACACACACACACACACACACACACACACACACACACACACAGGTACTGAGGCAATATTCTACAGTGATCCAGCAAGCATGACCTTTACTACCACATTACTTGGATTCAAAGCCCACTGTTGTCACATACCAGCTATTCAATCTTGGAAGAAAACACTTGACCACTGAGCATCCTAAAATGAGAGTAGTGGTATCACCTACCTTACAGGACTGCTGTAGTAAAGGTACATAAAGCACTTTACATTGGTAAAGGTACATAAAGCACTTCTAGTATTGTCTGGCACTTAATTTGCACTCAGTGAGTGTTAGCTCTTAATATTATTAGATCACTAAAAAAGAAATGTATATTATCTTTTCTTACCTGGAAAGTGTATCTTAATGGGTACTTTCTCAATGACTTCCATTGTTTACATTCAAAGCTGACATTCCTTCCCCACCCAGTGGGTCTGTCTTACTCTCTACCTGTCCTTGGAAGAATAAGTCAATGAGCATTGACTCAGTATCTTCCCTGATCAAGGACACAGACCACAGTGGCTCTGACTAATTTCATTTACATGACAGGATTGACTTCTCAAATTGTTTATTGGATTGAGCTTGTTTCTATATAAGTGCTTTCTATCAATGAATGCTTGATGCCTGTGCTTTTCCAGAAAAAAACTTCAATAAGTAATTGACCATATTTGAATGCCCTCCCACACAAACCCATAACTAGTGGGTTCCTATCATATTTTCTTAATATTGATTCAAGAGGCCACACACAACAGGATTTTTCTGTCTCATCTCAACACAAGACCAAAGCAGAAAATACTTTGTAGTTAAATTAACAGAAAGAGTAGCCAAAAATTATAGATGCAGTTTTATTATACCTACATAAGAAAATTCTACAATAAAAACTCAAGAGCCAATGATGATTCTGTTAGTATAATGGTATTAAACCTTCCTTTTTCATATACCTTTTCCAATGGCTTTATTTAATGACAATCAAATATTACAATCAAATATTAAATTTTTGAAATCCTATAAAAATTGGGTCATACATTGAATGAGATACTTCCTTGTTTTTATGTATATATAAAGTAAAAAGAAAATAATAAGACATTTAATTCAGACTTTAGTTTCCAGAAAATTAACCCTAGAAAGATTTCTCAAAGAATTTTGGGAACCTTCAAATACATCTTTGCTTTGTATTACATAATAGATTTACAAATATGAAAAAATCATAAAACTAAAACTAAAAAAATCATGAAACCATATGCAATTTTTATATTTTTATACTGAATCTTGTTATTGTTTAAAAGTATGGTAAGTGATTTTTATTTCATTCCATAGTTTCTATCTAAATGAATCTCAAAAAAGTTTTTTTTGCAAATTCTCTCTCTAGATAAAAATCAATGTATAATTGAGGACAAGATATGGTAGTAGGATTCACTGATCATGTACTCAAAGACCCCTACAGAATGAATCTATAAGATGAAGGTGTCCACCTTGAATTTATCTGGAATCAGATATTTTACATAATGTCATATCTTCTGAATTGGTATAGAAGGCATTACTATGACTAAATTAGAATATTACAGATGAAGATACTCCAACACAAAGACTTGAATGATTTTGTTTAAATTATCAATGGTTGACTCATCCAGATTTTCTTCATTGTCATCCATAGTGTGCCAGACTTCAGGGAAAGGAGAAGTTATCAGATGCAGAACTGGGACACCTAATAAAAAAGAATTACCTTGTAATTCAGTACATCCCTCCACTCAGTTAACTAGAAAATGACATTCTTCATGTAGAAGGAATGCTATTGTATAGGAAGATACCTGATAACTCATCACCTCTGGTGCATGTCTTTATATCTTACCTTTGTACTTCAAAAGCAATGAGTCATAAAAAACATTAATAAATTCAGTAAATAATCATAAGGCACCTACTGCCTACCAATTATGACTCTTAGAGTTCAAGTAATAGTAAAAAGGTCCCTAAGCATCACCTCCAGCTTTTTGGTGACTAATTGAAAATAAAAGGCTTACAGACTTTGCTGCCTAGGCTGACTTTGAACTGCAATCCTCAGATTTCAGCTTCCTGATTAGCTAGAATTATAGGTGTCAGCCACTAGCACCAGGCTGAACTTCCACTACGTTGACACAGGAATTTTCCAGATAAAATCAGAGCTACACAAAGGCAAGAACACAATCTAATTCCATGAATTAGACAGAAGAATGTCAGCAGGATACAGACTTTCAAAAATATTCTACAGCCAAGAGCTGGTGGCTCATACCTGTAATCCTAGCTACTCAGGAAGCTGTGATTTGAGGATCATGATTCAAAACCAGCCTGAGCAGAAAAGACCATGTGACTCCAATTAACCATGAAAAAGCTGGAAGTGGAGATGTGGCTCAAATGGTAGAGCACTGGTCTTGAGCAAAAATGAGCTTAGGGACATTGCCCAGACCCTGGGTTCAAGCCCCAGAATTGGCCCACACACACAAAAAATTCTACTTATCAAGAAAAATAAAAGTACTCCAAAGGATTTGGCTTCCACTTGGAAGCCATGAGTTGATATAATGGCTGTTTTAATTAATCAATTAAACTTAATGGTTCCTGCCTCTTCTAGAGAATTGCAAATCAGGAGTAGTAGAAATTATTACTAAGGCCTAGTGCTGCTGATCACTATTAAGCTTAGTTGTCACCTTAAAGACCTACAATAAATGTGTGAGGTATAGAGAGAAAGTGTGGAAATACGGACAACTCCCAGGAGTCTAACCCAAACAAGTGTATAAACCAGACCATTACAGCACAGGACAAAATTTGGAAAGGAGCAGTTGTTTTCAGTTCAATAATTCCTCCATATTAATGAACAATAGTAGCTCTGTCGTTTTATTTGATAACTAGGAGAGGCTTTGTCAGGGGATATTAAGTATTATATGCTGCATAAGAATCATATCTGGCATCAATACTGACCCGGTAAGGGAGTTTCTAAACTTCTTTGTCAGTTAATTTGGTTTAAACATCAACCTTCTGTCTTAAAGTCATATAATCAGAAGACACATATTGGTTAAAGCTTATTTATGTGTGTGTGTATGTATGTATGTATGTGTGTGTATATATATATATATATATATATACTTGTTTTTAAAGATTGATCCTCATGCAAATTAATTTTATCTAATATTAAATCATTAAAATATTTTAGATTGGCTAATATCATTGCTATATAAGTCTAGTGCTGTCAATCTTTTTGTGTGTGTGTGCCAGTCCTGGGACTTGAACTCAGGTCCTGAGTGCTGTCCTTGAGCTTGTTTGCTAGTGCTCTACCACTTGAGCCACAGTACTACCTTTGGGGTTTTTTTGGTGGCTAACTGGAGATTAGAGTCTATGGACTTGCCTGTCTAGGCTGGCTTCAAACCATAAACCTAGCCTCCTGATTAGCTAGGTTTATAGACATAATCCATCACCCAGCTAGTGTTATCAGTACTAAGGATGGTCTTAGTGATTCAAGATGCACCAATTATTATTCATGTTTAATTTTCTTCTCGAATGTATGTAACAGTTAGAGACCCAGAAAAGTTCACTGTTAAAGAAAACTATTGATGTCACTTGCAAACTAAATAAAGTTTGAGTAAGCCATGGCTAAGAACAATGATCCTGGTCTAGTTTTAGGAGTGAATAAGTGATACGTAGTTTTGAAATATCAAAATGTACATATAATGTAATAATGAACATATACATGAATAGGTACATGCACATAATTACCTTTTCTTAAAAATGGAATGTGGTCATCTTGAATAATATTTCCATAACCAAAATTCTGGAAATACCGCCTCTCCAAAGAGTGATCCTTGAGCAAACCTAATTCATGGAGTTCCTGTTCTGCAAATGACAATTAGATACTAGATGAACCTTTATTTTCATCTGATCAAGACTCAGGATGCATTCTTATTTAAGGAGTTTGAAATCTTATCATATGGAGCCATTATAATCTTAATATGCAGTGAACATGGTCATACCATGACAATAACAATCAGGGCTAACCTTGGGCAAGTACAGTTTGGAGTAGGAAAAGAGAATAATTGTGCAATGTTCTGGCCTTCAGGTGAGAATCTTAGAGATCTCAACTTCAACAGGACAGATTGCAAGTGAGGAAATCAAAGGAAAATGGTTTGGTAAAACTCAGGAGCATATGGTAAGATGGCAGAATGCTTTCACACTGCTTAGAAATAGCACAACTCTAGGGCTGGGAATGTGGCCTAGGGGTGTACTGTTTGTCTAGCATGAAGGAAGTCCTGGGTTCCATTCCTCAGCACCACATAAACAGAAAATGCTGGAAGTGGCTCAAGTGGTAGAGTGCTAGACTTGAGCAAAAGAATCCCAGGGCCAGTGCCCAGGCCTGGAAAAGAAAAAGAAATAGCACAATTCTATCTTGCTCCAAGAAGTATGCATGTCTCAATAATGAACTTTTAGCATGAAATTCTTGCCTCAAAAGCAGCCTCTTAGGAGGAGTTTACCAAAAAAAAAAAGTCTATCTCAATTTCATCTTTCTCAAATACCTACATGGTTTATTATGTATGGTTTGGTTTGGTTTGGTTTTATGGGGAGGCCCCATCTAGCCTCTCTGAAGCCACAGATAGCTATGTACTTGGCTTGGCCTAGCCTGGGCTGGCCTGTCTATCTACTCTCTTATTTGACTTTATATCTTCTTCAGATGGTCCTTTACAGCTCTCTTTCTCTTGACTCTTGATCTACTTTGAAAGCTTGGAATGTCTGGATAAGGTAGAAAATAGAAGATTGAAAAAAAAAAAAAAACAGGTGAAGAAAGGAAATGTAAAGTATATCTTTGGGTATCATTATAAAAACATAACATTCATCTTTAGCCAATATGTTTTGTTAGGTCAACTTTTCCCTAAAAATGTGTTCCATATGCTTCACACAAGACTCTGAGGAAAATATTTTCAAGCCATTTCTAAGTATATACAAACATAAAATGTAGTATTTTCTGCTTGCACTTCAAAACAGAGTTGAATGCAGGAAAATAAACTTACCTTACGAAACAAGATTAAGTAGGAATAACAAGTTAATAAACAGGGCAAAATGTATATTATCAAATAATAAATTTTGTATTTTAAAAGGTGACCCTTGTTAGTAGAAAGTAACATTTTGATAATTCTGTCTTCTTTTCTTTATGTATGGTGTATTCAAGTGAATATCTTCTGGAGGGTGGGGGAAAGGTTCAGAACTCAGGGGAAAAAGGGCGAAAAAGTACAGCAGTGGAGCTTACCGGACACTGTGATGAAAGTCAACTATACAGCTTGTGAGTAGACAGGGAAGGAGGACTGGGAAGGAGTGAGGGAAGGAAAGGCAATGTATGAAAGGACATGTACGCATTACCTGACTCATGTAATTATAATCCCTCTGTATACCATCTCTATGATAACAATAAAGTAAATTTTTTTAAAAACCTTTTCCTTGGGCTGGGAAGGTGGCTCAGTGGTAGAGCGCTTGCCTTGCATGCCTGAGGCCCTGGGTTCGATTCCTCAGCACCACATATGCAAAAAGAAAAAAAAAGCTGGAAGTGGTGCTGTGGCTCAGGTGGTAGAGCGCTAGCCTTGAGCTGAAGAGCTGAGGGATAGTGCCCAGGCCCAGACTTCAGGCCCCACGACCGGACCCAAAAAAAAAAAAAAAAAAACCTTTTCCTTTTTAGTAACTGTGGCACTTACCAATTGTTTGAAGCCTATCAAACCATCTGGCAGAGTTTGGAAAAAAATTGGGAAATGTTGGGTTTCGGGCCCCAATTAAATCCAGTAAGACCATTAAATCCTATAGAAGAAAAACATTATTTAACCACAGAGACAAAAACACATTTCATATTCATCAATAGAGACAAACAATTAAAATTAAATCCATTTAATCAGTTAAGAATATAGAGATCGCTGGGCGCTGGTGGCTCATGCCTGTAATCCTAGCTACTCAGGAGGCTGAGATCTGAGGATCGCGGTTCAAAGCCAGCCCGGGCAGGAGAGACCGTGAGACTCCTATCTCCAATAAAACCACCAGAAAACCGGAAGTGGCGCTGTAGCTCAAGTGGTAGAGCGCTCGCCTTGAGCAGAAGAGCTGAGGGACAGCGCCCAGGCCAGAGTTCAAGCCCCACGACTGACAAAAAAAAAAAAAAAAGAATATAGAGATCTACATAAGTGAACAAGAGTTTTTTAATAGTAATTTATAATAATTATTGTTTAAGTACCTTTTTTGCCCCTGCTTGTCATGGGGCTTAAACTCTGGGCTTGGGCACTGTCTTGAGCTCTTTTTTTTTTTTCCTCAAAGCTAGTGCTCTACCACTTGAGCCACAGCACTACTTCTGGGTTTTTCTGTGATTAACTAAAGAAAAGAGTTTCATGGACTCCCCTGAACAGCCAGGCTGGCTTCAAACTGTGACTTTAAACTCTCATCCTCCTAAGTAGCTAGGACTACAAGCATGAGCCACCGGCGGCCAGTAAGGTGAAGTACTTCTTTAAAATGTGAATGAATTACAGTGTTAATTCTTTATTACTCCAAAAGGATACTACTAGGAATAAACTAGAAAGGAATCTTTGGGGTCAGGATTGTTGAAACATGTTTGTAATCCTAGCTATGCAGGAAGGGTAGAAAGGAGAAAAGCTTTTCAGGATCAGCTCAGAAAAAAGTAGATGTACATGGTCTCAAAAACAACACTGGAGACAAGCCCAGTAGTCTTAGTTATTAAAGAGGCTGAAATGGGGGAGGACTGATGCTTAAGGCCATTCCAGCCAAAAAGTTCATATGTGCCCATCACAACCAATACAAAGCTGGACACAGTGGTGCACCCAGCTATACAGAAAGCTTAAACAGGATGATCATGGTCCAAGCCAGACAAAAAGTAAGGCCCCATTAAAAAAATAAATGCCAAAAGGGCTGACAGTCTGGCTCAAGTGGTAGAAGGTCAAGCACATGATCCTGAGTTCAAACTCCAGAGCCACAAGAGAGAGAGTCAGAGAGCAGACAGGAAGGAAGGAAGGAAGGGAGAGATGGAGGGAGAGAAGAAGGGAGGAAGGAGGGGGGGTACTACAGTACTAGCCAACCAGGTCTCTCCTCCTTCTCTGAACCCTTTTCAGCCACTTTGGCTCAAGTGAATGAATAAGTGCTGTCCATAAGTCCCCACTCCCCACCAGGATCAGCTGCAATGGAGAGGGGACAGAGATGGAAGGGAAATTCTAACACAAGGTCTGTTAGACAAAATCATTCACCCATTTGACTCCCAGGGCAAAGGTCTATAACAGGGCAAAGCTCAGAGATGAGTGATGGTGGAGTGAGGGAACTATTGATCAGTTTACAAATGAAGAGGCTCAGAAGTAAAAGAAGAACAGGAAAGAAAAGGAATGTTCAAAGCTTGAGCTCCAGGTTCTAAGCTTAAAGAAGAGAGGACTTAAGGACTGAGTAAAGATAAACCATGGAGAGGGAGAGGCAGGAGGAGACTCTCAGGTAGGTTAAAGGATTAGGGATGGGTTTGGGCCCAGAAACAGGGATGTAATTGAGCCTGTGTGTTACACTCACATTTAGTAATAGTGGTAGGATTTGAAGACAGCATGGGAACTTCTCCAACCTCATGTGAAAATTGTCATCTCAAACCAACAACACAGCAAAATATCAAGTACACACTGGAGTCACCATAATTCTTCAGTTGTAAAGCATTATAATTACAATACCCTAAGAAAAATCCGTCAATCACACCCCCTCTTACTCCATTTCCGAGTATCCTATCCTCCTCTGCTTTTGTAATGCCTTCAAAAAAAGATTCAACTCATGCCTATAATCCTAGCTACTCAGAAGGTTGAGATCTGAACAACACGGTTTGAAGCCAGCCCAGGCAGGAAAGTCCTTGAGATTCTTCTCTCCTGCTCAGAAAAAAAGCCAGAAGTAGAACTGTGGCTCAAGTGGTAGAGCGCTAGCCTTAAGCAAAATGAAGCTCAGAGACAACACCCAAACCCTGATTTCAGACCTCAGGATGTGAAGAAGAGAAGAAAGAAAAGAAAGAAAAAGAAAAGAGGGAGGGAAAGAAGAAAGGAAGGAAGGAAGAGCGGGAGGGAGGGAGGGAAAGATTCGAACTTCTACCTTCACACACTACCTGTGGAAATGTTCTCCACTGAGCCAAACTGAATCTGATGGCTCCTTAATCAGATTTCACAGTACTTTAATTAAACTCATCCAAACATGGCATCTAACCCAGAATCATTCTTTTGAGCTCTGGGATTCCTCAAAAGCCCAGTGCCTGCCAAGGAATGTTCTATTATAAACACCATTCTGAAGATTTTGTGACACCGCTAGGTCTTAGCTTTAGCACCCTTCTCTTTGGAGGCTACAGAGCCATCAAAATTCCTCAGACTAACCATGCCATGCAGTTGGTTGGTGCCCCTCGCTCCAGGTGGGTGTGTGGTCGATGCCATCTTCGTAGCTAAGTGCCGAGACCCATACAGAGAGTCCTGAGGAGACCAGTGAAGGAAAGCCTCTTCTCCATCAAAAAAAATTAGCTTCAGTGAGAGATCTGACTTGGAGCCTGAGGCATCCTAGTAAAAAAAGAACACTTATTTTAATGCTATGATGAATAAAAGGAAAATAAGCACCAAAAGCTTACAGGGGGCCATGAAGAAAGGAAGATACCAAAGCAAATGAAACCATACCAAAATTTATTCCACACCACTTCCTCTTCAAAAATCATCTCTCCTCCCACGATCATCACTCAAATAAATCTCACCTTCTCCTACTACCTCTAAAAATAGATGCTTTCTATTTGTTCTCTTTTTGTTGCTGTTGTTGTATCTGTATTCCATTAGTGGGGCCTGAATTCAGAATCTCTTTGTTCCTTCTTAGCTTCTTCTGCTCAAGGCTCGTGCTCTACCACTTGAGCTACACCAGCTTTGGGCTCATAGACTTTCCTCCCCTGGCTCACCTTGAACCTGGATGCTCTGACTCAGCCTCCTGAGTAGCAAGTTTTTCAGGCAAAAGCCACCTACCTAATCCTAGAAAATTTGTAACTATAGAAATGTTGTGATAGATACTGTGTCATGCCACCCAACGTTCCCCTCAGGATGTGTGTGCCCCAGCATCTGGGAGAGTGTCAACCACTTCCAGGTTCGTCCCAGCTGCCTCTCCTAGATCTCATGACCTGTCCACAGACAGTAGAGGCTATCTAAAGGGACATTGGCCTTCCAGAGCTCCCCACAGCGTGGCTGAGACTATCCCCAGTATAGCTCAACCTCTCCCTCTGTCTAATCCCGTTTCTCTCTTCCTCCAGCCAGAAGTGTTGATCCAAGGCTGCTCCCCGCTAACGGACCTGAATGGTCTTCATCAGGTGATGCTCTTCATCAGGAAACCAATCTGAAACAACTGACGATCTTTCTTGCCTCTCACCTGATTTAAGTCTGACATTTTTAATTGAATCTCAGTTCAAGAATCTGCCCTAGGAGTGCCACAGAGATACAAAGGAGAATAATTATAGTAGCTTACTTAAAAGAGACTACACTTCAGTTGAGCTAGGAAAGACAAAACACATGTACATGAGCACGGAAAAAAAATGTGCCAGGTTCACATATGCAACCCATGTTCTTTGGAAACTGTACAGAAGAAGAGGTGAATCTTTGGGGCATCAAAAGCTGCATGAGAGAGAGAGCATCTGACAAGAAACTGAGAAGGGAAATTAGATTCTGATCAGTTTTAAACTTTCCACCTTTAACTTCCAATATTTTACATTACTTCTTCTGCTACTCTAAAACCCCACAGTCCTTGAGCCCACCCTAATTCCTGGTCTGTCGAGTCCCTTCACTTTTTCACAGTTCTCCACCTCCATAATAACCTAGCTTCTCTCTGTGTCCTGTTTAGTTCCAGGCAATAATACTAATTACTTTCTTATATACACTCTCAACTTACTTGCCCTCTGCCTCATCAGGTCAAGGGCCATGGCTCAACGATATGACCCTAGCTACAAGGGAGGTAGGGAATTATGGGAACAGGTTTCAAGGCCTACCTAGGCCAAAAAAAAGTTTAACCAATAGCTGGGTATAGTGGCACATCCCTGTCATCCAAGCTTCTCAGGGAAGCAAAAGTAAGAGGATTGCAGATCAGGGCATAAAAGCAAGAGCTCAGTCTTGAAAATAACCAACACATACACACACATACACACACACACACACGCACACACACAACACACATACACACACACAACACACATACTTATTCCTTATATCAAAAACAAACATGAAATCATCCAGCCTTGTGCCTATTCTTGTGGAGAACCTAGCTAGAGAAAATAAACAACCACACTGTTTGACCTTGCTTAAACATTCATGACCACTAACCTTAAGCTGGCCTTCTGTGTTAACTGGGAGTCACACTGTATTTTCTGGGTCCATTCACTTGCAGACTCTTCTGGTATTTCACGTTCTTCCTCTTTCTAAAATTCAGCACCTCAGTTATCTCACTCCCAAATGATGACCTTGATTTCTTCTTGCCATGCTCATTAGTTGCCAGCCTCTATGTGCTCTAAATCCCTTCTCCTCTGATCTGCTCAAGGATATTGCTCTAATAAACACCATTTTTTCATCATCACCTACAAATATGCTGTTACTTCTCTTGTGTTAAAATGTTTACTCCATTATCTCCACGAGCTACTGCTTCTTTTTTAAAGTCCACCTATAGAAAAACTTGCAAGAATTGTCTGTTCAGTCTCCAAGTCTTGTTCTTCAACCTATTCTGATCCTATTTCATCATCTCCAGCCACTGAAATTGTTGTTGTCATGGTCACCTCTACATTGCTAAATTCAAAGGTTAACTCAAAATCTTCATCTTTCTTGACTTATCGGAAGCAGCTGACGAGACTGATAGCTCCCATCTGCAGATATTTTCCTCATTCAGCTCCTAGGACAACACAGCCCTTCTACCTTAGCCAGGACTGTTGATTCCCTTCATCTCTTTTCCCTCTTAATGCTAAAGGCCATAAAGCTTGTTGCTTGGTTCTCTTTGTTGTTGTTAATATCTATCTCTGAGTCTTTACAAAATGTGTATGTATGTATAACATATGCATACCCTCACATGTCAGTAATTCCAAAGTACATAGCTCGTTGTTTGGTCTCAGTCCTGATACCCAATTGCCAAATGAACATCTCCACACAGATGTTTAACAGACATGTCAAATATAATGTGTCAAAACTCAATCTCTGATATTCTTCCTGAAAGGATCATTACCAACAGTCTTCCTCAAATAATTTGTTGTTAACATCATCCTTGCAGTTACTCAGATTTTTTTAAAAATCCATGGAGGATTTCCTCCATGGATGCTTCTTACGCACACGTGCACACACACACACACACACACACACACACACACACACACACACACAATCTAGGTCATCTTGCCTTTGCAAACCTATTTCCTAACTGATCCTCACTCCATGCCTTTTTTCACTTCATTCCTTTCTTTTAACCCTCGTATATCTCCAGAGTTATGTGATCAAACTTTCCAGATGCTTTTGTTCCTTGTGTATCTTGACTCTATTTCTCGTGTTTGTGCCCTTCCCAGAGCCCTCTCCTTTGACTTGCTCACTTGGCCTGCTGCCGACCTGTAGTCTCAGGCCTCCTTTCACCATCACTTTAGAGACTTCCTCTGCCTCTTCTCTCTGGGAGTCCCAGTGACCACATCCCAGATCCCCTTTCTGTAGTTTTACTTGAATTTTGCTGAGGCATAGCTAAGCAACATCTAAAGTGAAGCCATGCATGAAAGTGAACATTATTGATACCTGTACCTGAAAGCATCATCATTCTAGTCTTATATTTAATTCAACTGTGTATGGGGATTCCAAGATCATTATTTATTTTAAATACGTAAGGCACAATTGTATTGTTTTCTACACATCCAAAGTTTCTATTGAGAAATCTAGTGTCATTTTTATTCTCAGTATTTTTTTTCATGCCTGTTAGAATTCCTAGAATGACTATGCTGTTTTTATTCCTTTTTCTGGAAAAGATACTTTTTCCACTTTAGAATTCAGCCCTCTTATAAGTGGTTTGTTTTTTTTTTTATTTCTAACTTCCAAGAGCTCTTTCTCATACTGTGGTTACTCTTTCTGAATACTCATATTTTTGTTTCATGAATGTAATTGCTCCTCTGATTTCTCTAAAGATATTTAAAATACTACCAAGTTATCTTCTGCTCCTTGTACTATTCTATTTCCTCGAACTCATTGTTCAATTTGTCTCATTTGTTTGCTTGCTTTCTTTCATGATGGAGACTGTTCTCCAATATCTGGTCATACCTGAGTTCACTCATGTTAAAGAAGAAGGTCCAAATATACTGATTAGACATAATGAGTTCATTGCCTTCGATACGTGTAAATCTAGTGCTCATTCAGTGTTTTCTTTGAGGATCTCTAAGTGTTCCCTTCCTGCAATCTTTTCTCTGACATGGCTCAAGCTCTCTGGACAAAGATCCTCCAGTTCCCTATCAAATGGGTATATGATTATTGTTGTCTTTCTGCTGCTAGAAATGATATAACATACCAAAGATTTCAGTGTTCACTGTGTAGACTTCTACCTAATCTCCCTAATTTCATGAACATCTCCTTAAGGCTCTTTTTTTCATAACTGGTCCCAAAGTCCAGAGCAACATTGTTCAATTTCTCTAGAAATAGAGTCTGGCATGGATTAGGAATCTATATAAGTATTTCTTATACAGACTTGTGGCAATGGGGTACAGGACTAGAGTTTGAACTCAAGACTTTACACTTGCTAAGCTGACTCTCTACCCCCTTAATCCACACTCCCAGGACTTTTTTGCTTTAGTTATTTTGGGGGGTCATTCTTATGTTTTTGCCTGTCGCCAATCTTGGGCCGAGATCCTCTTACCTACATTTCTAGTGTAGCTGGATACCAGCTTTATAGAGCCATGCCTAATCCCCTATGCAGACTTCTAACCCCTCTTCATGCCTGCTCCCTGCCTCACTTCTGCTTTTCTAAGTATGTCATTCATCTAGTCCCTGGGCCTTTCCAGGATTTTGTCAGGAGACCTGATGGCCTCTTTCATTCTCCACATACTTCACCAGGAAATATGACTTCTATCCATGCTAGTAGGTCATTTGCTTTCTCCATCTACTACCGTTTGCATATTGTGGTTCTCATTAACACATGCACCTTCATTTATTCAAAGATGAAGTTTCCCTGATTCTTTTGGGGTGATATCATTTTGAAAGGGGGGGGAGGAAAGAAGGGAGGGAAATAAGGAGGAAATAAGGAAGGAGGGAGAAAGGAAGGAAGGGAGGGAGGGGAGAAAGAAAGAAAGAAAGAAAGAAAGGAAGGAAGGAAGGAGAGAAAGAAAGAAAGAAAGAGACAGAAAGGAAAGAAGGAAGAAAGAAAGAGAGAGAGAGAAAGAAAGAAAGAAAGAAAGAAAGAAAGAAAGAAAGAAAGAAAGAAAGAAAGAAAGAAAGAAAGAAGGAAGGGAGGGAGGGAGGGAGGGAGGGAGGGAGGGAGGGAGGGAGGGAGGGGAGGGGAGGGGAGGGGAGGGGAGGGGAGGGGAGGGGAGGGGAGGGAAGGGAAGGGAAGGGAAGGGAAGGGAAGGGAAGGGAAGGGAGAAAAATGCCAAGTGCTGGTGGCTCACATCTGTAATCCTAGCTACTCAGGAGGCTGACAACTGGAGATGGCCAGCCTAGGGAGGAAAGTCCATGAAACTCTTATCTCCAATTACCTACCAAAAAGCTAAAAGTAGAGCTGTGGCTCAAGTGATAGAGCACCAGCCTAGAGTGAAATAATAATACCCAGGCCCTGAGTTCAAACCCCAGGACTAGCACAGAAAAAAAGGCTTTTATCATCTGAAACAAAGCTATTTTTGTATACTATGCTTAATACTATGTCTCTAGACAGCGAATTAACATCTATTATTTTAATATCAAGTGTTCTGATCCATGAACACTGGATATCTCTCCATATTTTAGATCATTTTTTTTGTCAGTCATGGGGTCTGAACTCTGGGCCTGGGCTCTGTCCCTTAGTTCTTTGGCTCAAGGCTAACACTCTACCACTTGAGCCACAGCATCACTTCCACCACATATGCATATGTGGTGCTGAGGAATTGAACCCAAGGCCTCATGCATGTAAGGCAAGCACTCTACCAGCCCTTTTAGGTCATCTTTAATTTCTCTACATAGTGATTCTTACAAGGTGCCAGTGGCTCACACCTCTAATCCTAGCTACTCAGGAGGCTGAGATCTGAGGATTATAGTTCCGAGTCACCAGAAAACCAGAAGTGGTACTGTGGCTCACAGTGATATAGTGCTAGCCTTGAGAAGAAAAGCTCAGGGACAGTGCCCGGACCCTGAGTTCAAGCCTTATGACCAACAGCAACAACAATAAAAATAATTATTCTTATTTTTCTTTCTTCCATTTGTCCCAGGTCTTTGCAGTCAGTTCTGTGGTTTGAATTCAGTGCCTTACACTTGCTAGGTAAGTACTCTACCACTTGAATGATGTATGCTGCTCTGTTCATTTTTATTTTGTTTTTTTTTAATTAGGCAAGTGTTTTAATTGTATTAAGATAGCTTGTTAATTAAAAAAGACAGCTCATTCTACTTTGAATCTCCAATGACTTCTGAGAGCATGAAGCAAAAGATGTACCTGTACAGCAGGTGCACACCCAGGATTAACTCTGTATTAAGCAGTTAAACAGATTTCCTCATTATCAAGGATGCAAGGTGAATACTTCAATGTAGACAATCTAAGCTTTTAAGATCCCTTAGTGCTTCCAAAGGTCTAGCTTGAAATCAGACAGTATAATCATAGGATGTGAGGACAGAATGAGACTATTGGGACCAGAGGCATTCTGCCCGTGCTAGTGTAGAGGCAAAAGAATGCCATTTTTAACTTCTACAGCTTTAAGTTTTAGGGTGCCTCACTGAAATTTCAACAGCTGGGTGACTCCAATTATCAATTATACTTACTTCTTTCATTCTCTTCTCTTAGCACCAGTTCATTTAGGGAGGAATGGACTGCTGTAGATACTGATCCAGAGTCTCCTGAGGGTTTTTTGTTTTTCAGAATAGGCAGGAAAACAAAAACAGCCTTCAATTTCTAGTAACTCAGGCTTGTACTTTAAACCTAGAAGAATCTGTGTGGCCTAATCTGTGAAGGTCTTTGTGGTAATAGTATAAATGCCTGTTATCAGGGTTTACATAGTCTGTCCATGAATTGTCTGCCATCTTTCTTGATACAAGGTCAGAGAATGGCACAGTAACAAAGCTCCTGGAATACATAGCCTCTATGGGTCAACTGGGGGACAATAGACCTAGGCTGAGCTTGGCTCTGCTTCACTCTGCAGTCAGTGAGGTTGGCTCGATTTCACTTGTCTCTTATCTTCCTGCTGGGACTGACAGACCAGCCAGCACATGCTCTTCTCATGGTGATGGCAAAGACACAATTCAGTAAACACATTTCCAGCTTCATCACATTTACTAACCACACATTGGCCCAGGCAAAATAAATAGCAAAGTCCAGAGTCAATGGTTGAGGGAACACAGCTGACTCTAATGTGAATGCACAACAAAGTTATAAGGCAAAAAGATACGGGTGTGTAGACACAGTTCTAATAACAGAGAGAAGAGGGAAAGGACTAGAAGAGTTAGAACAATAATCCAGGCTACTGTCGAGCCCTCTCCTAGGGTACTTTCCACCACCACCTGTTCCACTCATGATGGCTGAAGGAAATAAGTTTTACTACCAATTTAGTTAAAATATAATTGCGGGGGGGGGGGGGGAGGAGTGTAGTTGTGGAGATGGAAGGGAAGGGATGGTAGTGGAAAAACAAAGGAAGAGACAACAATGCTTGATAAGAAATGTACTCAGTACCTTGCTCATGTGACTGTAACCCCTCCTCTGTACAGTATTCTCACAATAAAAAACTTATTAAAAATATATATATAATTGCAAGAAGAAATCTGATACTCTGCAAATTTGCATTCAAAAAGAGTCCATTTAAAAAAATTATTCATGTTGTCACTTACCTCTAGCAGGTAAATTAAGAGAACATACATGTCTAATTGAGAGCTCAGATTGTCTAATTAAGGATCCCACCCCAAAATTCATTCAGCCCTTTCTGTTTCTGGCTACCAGAAATACTTCCTTCCATAGAGAAAGCAGTTCACCAAGAGAAGACACACTAGCTACAGAAAACTGTGCCTTTAATTGTATTTTGTTTCATGCTTATACTAGCAATATAAAGATGAAAAATTAAGATGATGTATCAGTTTCCTGTCACCCAACAGCTAAGGAACTGTGACCGTTAGAAGCAGGGCATGGGACAAAGACATTATAGAAGGCTCAGGCAACAAAATTCACAAAACAGAAAAAAAAACAGTGAAAAGGATATTGAGAGGGGGAAAAACAATTCTTGCTTTCTTCAAGTTAACATATCCAGCAAAAAAATAGAACCAAATATCTCTATTACTTCCATTACAAGATAAACTTTCAAAAAGCCCACAAGAGGGTGGCTATTTGTTGCCTACGAACAAAATGTTTTGTTTTTGCTTTGTCTTGTTTGCTTGGTTATGAGTGGTATCAGCATAAAATGTCTTCATCTAGTTTAGCACTTTTCCCCCCAATATACCCTTAAGAACACAGACACTGAAATAACATCTGAGAGTCCCAGAAGTATTTTGAGCTGAGAACAGAACAAAAGCTCTGCTCTGCTACATAAAATTGAGCTGAGATTGACAGATAATAACAATAATGCATTTCTGTGTCAAGCTTTTCATCTTGATATGTCTGAATTACCCACTCTCTACTTTGGAGCCACTTTTCCTGTGGCTCCCTCTCCTCAACTCAAGTCATTATCTCTCACATCAGAAGGTCATGATGTTTCATGGCTATATAAACAAGAAGAAATAGCACTGTTTTTCAACCTCAGGCCTGCACCAACTTTGCTTCTTCATTTGGAAGGAAATGATACATTTAATCCAATACCTATTCAAGGCTGACTAACCAGGTGTCAATTAATGAACTCACTGCCATTTGTTTAGGTTGAGCGCTTATGAAATTTCAAATCGTGCAATCTTCCAATAAATTTTCCTCTTATTTTATAACAAATTACAAATTTGCAAAAATGAATCACAATGCTTTGGTTTCCAAATGGCCTTCATAGCCTCCCCTAAGGACTCCAAGACTCACTCTGAGTTAGTGTTCAGGTATTTTATCTTAGGAGTCAACAAAAAGAAAGCAGATACCTTCAAGGAAAGGAGTTGTTTGTCTAAGGCACGAGCTAATTCCAACAGCATGGCACACGGCACCGCTGAATCAGTGGCTCCTACGAACACCCTGTTGCCCCAACGAGGAAAGTACTTGGAGTCGTAGTGGCAGGCGAGGACCAGGTGTCGTTTGGCAGTGGGGTTGAGGGTGCTGATGATATTTGAGAAAGACCGGTACCCATAGGGTGTCCTACTCAAGAAGGTGTCTACTTCCAAAATCCAGTCAGCCTGAAGTTTCTGAAGGCGCTGCATGATGTGCTGATCAAACAAAAACCAAAGTTTCAGATCCAAGCAAGCTTTGCATTCGTTAACTATGTTTTTTTTTTTCTTTTAAGACCAAGTATTACTATGTATTCCAGGCTGACCCAAAACTTTTATATAACCCAGGCTGGCCTTGCACTTATGATCCTCCTGCTAGAATTACAGGCATACACTATCACATTTGGCCTTGTGTTTCTAAAAGATTATGTGATGCCTTTCAAGTTAGGATGTACAGCATGTACAGAATGCATGTACAGAAATATCACCATGAAACTCCTTTATGTAATTAATTTATGCTAATAAAATGGTTATAGTGCATGCTTATTATACTTATTAATAGTAATAATTTTCTATTATCATTTGTAATTAACAGGAATCTTCGTATTAAAAGGAAAAACTAACCTTCCTTCTACCAACCTATCTCAGTCAATGTTTAATATTAATCAGTGCTAATAGTTTGATGTAGATCTTTCCTTTTGCTTAGAGAAATCTATGTTAGCATAGAAACACATAATATATTTGGCAAATAAGTATACATTTTTAGAAAAACATCCTACTTTTGATATTTCTAAGATGTTAAAATGGAATGCTTAAGAAATCAGATATACTCTAAGCTCTTCAGAGCAAAGAACGACTAACAGCAGCTCTTTTTGAGCCAAATGCCTAAGAAGTCCTACAAATTGTTCACATGTGCTAAACACTAACAGAAGATACTAACATGACCAGCTAAGGACAGTGAATAAAGGCTCCATAACAAGAGGACAAATGGGGGATGTTTACAGTCCCTGGCCACTCTGATCCATATTACATAGCAAGAAATTTTCTCTGCATCCAAGGCAGGTCCAAATCCACTGCTAAGGCTTGTTTTAAAAAAAAAATGCTTGGGCTAGGAAGGTGGCTCAGTGGTAGAGCGCTCGCCTTGCATGCCTGAGGTTCGATTCCTCAGCACCACATAAGCAAAAAGAAAAAAACCGGAAGTGGCGCTGTGGCTCAAGTGGTAGAGCGCTAGCCTTGAGCTGAAGAGCTGAGGGACAGCGCCCAGGCCCAGAGTTCAGGCCCCACGACGGGACCAAAAAAAATAAAATAAAATAATAAAAAAAATGCTTAAAAAGAATCTACCTGAAGCCTTTGGGCAACTTCTGGAAGGAAGCAGTAAGTAAAGACTTCAAGGACTGGATGTATCTCCCTTAAGAACCTAATCTTCATGGTATGAAAAGATATAGGTGAGTTCACTGCTGTTTCTTTTGCTCTTCTCAGCCTTACTTTTTCTTGACCTTGTTTTTCTTTTCTTCTCTCAACTATCATGTGGGTCTCTGTAAATTGTCTTTTAACTCAAATCAGAAACTAACAATCAAATAAATTGGCAATTTATCCTGCAAGTAACATCCAACAAGGATGGACCTTGCAATGATGAACAAATAACTTACAATAGCTGGAAACAAGTGGGAATTTTTTTTCCTTCTCCTCCCAAGGAAATACAGGATTTTCTATCCTAGCCAAGTCTTGTGTGGCCTGCAGCTTGTTAATGTGACATGACACATAGGCAAAAAAAAAAAGGGAGGGGGGAAGCTTGGAAAAACTGTAGCAGGAAGCTTTGGGAGGGGGAGAGGGGAATGAACAGGACACTGAGTCTACAATCAATCATGAAGGGCCAAAATTACAAAAGCTTTTTTAATTAGGTAGACTTTAGCCAGCATAACACTGTATATGCTGTACCTTATCTTACTTTTCTAATACTGGTTTACATGTTTGTCTTTTCATATCATCAGAAGAAATATTTATGACCTTTTGGAAGTCAACATTCCTACCTTGCCCATTTTTTAATCTATTTTGTTATTCTCCACAGTTCTTAGAACTCTGCTCCCTGCAAGTTGTCAGTAAATATTGGTTGATTGTGATGGTATATATGGGTTGATATGCAAAGAGTATATAAAGCTATACAATATGGAGTATTAGGCCTGTGAGTCGAGAGAAATCACTGCATCTTAGGCTTTTTTGACCAATGTAAAAAATCAGTTATTCTGGACTGTTAAAATTTTTTCCATAAAAGAGTGATCTTAAAAAAAATAGCAAATACTCCAAAACATCTGTTATCCAGATGATGAGATACTCCATCAAATGGCTTAACTACTAGTAGCCTGCAGAATAAATGAGGATTTTAAAAGCCTATCTGTTAGCATTACTCAGAAGTTTCACACATACTTATTTCTCAATTACTAACAAGGTCTTGGCCATAATTTCTGATGTCTACGTGCACACAAACATCCACAAAAAAATTAGCAAGTATCCCCAAAAGAGTTCTTCCTGAAGTAGGCTTTTATATTCAATTTTTTTATTTATCTTAGCAACTAAGATAAATAATCTTTATAAACAATGGAACTGGCTGCAAAATCTAATTAGGTCACCAGGACCTCTTGTTGTTGTGCTTTTGGCTTTCAGATTGAGACTGCAAGTTCCCACTACCAGTCTCCAAAGGAAGGTCTGCAAAGCATTTCTCGGATGACTAGTATGGCCCTCAAGGGCAAAGCAGCTGTGCTTCCCAGACTCCATGGGACAAAAGGCTGACAGAGACGGGGATTGGAGCAACCCATGTGACTCCACTTCTGGGTATACCAGTTAAGTTGGGAGCGTTATTCTAGGTTAACACTAGTGAATGATCCTGGGTTGAATTCAACTAAACTTAAATTCTAATTTCCAGATTCTGAGAAGCGTGAAACCAGTAGATCAGGGTTGTTTGGAAGAAACAGGTTCTCTATTATTTGTACTGTTTACAAATACACTCCCGTCAGGAGGCTATTGTGGACTTCAGGGTATGTTTTCTTGGTTCCACCATACACAAGTATCAAAGCCAGCTCAGGAGGCTGGCTTGAAAATATACAATTCCATATTCTAGAATACAAAATATAATTTTACAGTGCATGAGACACAGAAGTTTAAGCACTGCCCTGAACTAAGTACACTAGGCTAATTGTTATTGAGTTATGTGGAGAACACAATTTCTCAAAGGAGAATGAAGGTCACAGTACAGTGACTCAAACTTCCAACCAACAATTGTCAAATGCCATTGATGTTGGAGTGTTAGGGGCAAAGAAAACTTGATTAGGAGTCCAGGAACGTGTTATTGAAAGGGTGAGACTTAGACTTAGTACCCTTTCTGATGTTGTACCCCAGACAGCAATTTCACACAAAAAGTCGTTTAGATTAACTGGTATACTTACATCAGAATAGACATTTATTTTCAGGCATATGACTTTCTTGGTTTCTTAAGACAATGAGTAACAGCATGGTCTATCTGAGAGTTAGACATCTATGAACTTCAGCCAGGACGTCCCTCCTAGTAAAGCAAACTACTCAATAATCTTTAGGTTTATGGGTTTTATTCTCACCTGACGAGCAGCATAACTCCCTGGGGATCCTGGGTATCGCTCTATCAGTAAGGGCCGTAAGTCATGTTGCCACATATCAGAAATACTGGTACCTTCTGCAATTTGCCGAAGAGATGATGAATTCAGAATAGCTGGTTGGTGATAATTCTAAGAATTAAATAAGATTATTTATCTGTAATTTTATAATACATGTAAGACTTAGCCTGACACATTCATAATACCTTAAATCTCAAAATAAAGAATTAACTTTTATGTCATATGAAGTAAATTAAACTTCCATATTAAACTATAAAAATGGTCCCATATATCTAGCTAGCTAAACAAAAACTCAGGCAAATTATTTTAAAAAGAAAAATTACCAAGGCTTTCAATGTGAGAATTAATATCTGTATTACCTGTGTAACTTTCAATGACTTTGGTGAACAGCTTTTGTAGAATTGATGTTTAAAAAGTAACAGTCAGGCCAGGCACCAACGGCTCATGCCCACAATCCTAGCTGCTCAGGAAGCTGAGATCTGATTATCTTCATTCAAAGCTAGCCCAGATGGGCAAATTCGGAGTCTTAGCGCTAATTAACCAGCAAAAAGTTGGAAGCGGAGGTGTGGCCCAAGTGGTAGAGTGCCAACCTTGAGCAAAACCTGAGCCATAGCTCAGGACCAGAAAGTAACAGTTTTGGGTCCTTTATCTCAAAAGAAAAAAAAATCCTAATATTTAAAACACAGCCACCAACAAAACAATTTACTGCGTTAGCATAATTGCTTTAAGAGGGCAGTGTGGTGCTACTTTAACTGAATGAGCATTGTCAGAGAGTAAGACTAGCTAGATTCAAGGCTTATAGTTGCTCCATGCCCTTGGGTAGGTCTGTTAACTTCACATTTCCCCAGAAAAACTGATAAATAAATTTTATCTGCAGCTAATATTTCTCTATTATGTTAAATAAAATATACCATTAAAATTAATTTCACCTATTTAATTTTTTAATTGTACAGGGATTTGAAATCAAGGCTTCCAATTTGCTAAGTAGATATACTGTTGCTTAGACCATGTCTTCAACCCTACTAGAAAATTTAAAATACCATACTTACTAGAAAATTTAAAATCGCCTTATTGTATTATCTATTTCTGCTGGACAGCACTGACCCAGACAATTGTTGCCATTTCTTGCAACTGGACTTTGATGATTCTGTAAAACCAGCTATAAAGCAAAAGTTTTTATCTTCAGCTAATGTTATATTAATCTTAGCAATAAAATATTAATATTATATTAATCTTTAGATTCTTAGGTACATATATATTAATGGAAAATTTAAAAAACTAAATAAATCTAACATTTGACTTTGCATTTAAATATTATATAATAGATATTATAGTATATATTCCTTTTCTGCTTATGACTGATATTCTACCACTTGAGCCATGCCTCCAGTCCAGCTTTTCTACCACAGTGACTTGAACCTCAATCCTCAGATCTCAGTCTCCTGAATAGCTCGGACTACAAGCAGGAATTACCAATGTTCAGCTCATGATACCAGAAATGATGAATCATTCACTCATTACATGTTTATTAGATACTCATTGACTCATTGATGGACTTATCACTCCTTAAGGGAAACTGAATGATTCATCAGATGACTTCTTCCTTAAGGTGAATGATACTGGTGACATGAGGGCTTTGAGTTCTTTGGAATGCAAAGAACTCAAGAAATGAGGAAGCCTTGTCTGCCTTACAGTTCCTTCTGGGTCTAGTGCGAATTGTGCATATTTAAATAAATCATGCAGGTAGTTCCACTAATATGTAAACCACTTTATCTACATGGTGAAATGAGACTATGTTTATTGCCTGATTACTCATATTCTTCTCCCCTTTCAGATTGGCCCTATATCACTGTCTAATATATACTGTGCAAAAAGCACAGGCTGCTGGACCCTCTCAACTCAGCTTTCAAGTCAGCACCCATCTGCCCAGGCTAACTTCACTAACGCTGCCTCTCCTCATCTGCAAAATGAAGTTTACAGCATCCAAGATAATCAGACCTAAATGAGCTACTATGTATAAATTGCCATGTTAAATATTCCATGTTAGTTCTATTATTTCCTTTGTCAAACACTAAAAAGTTATAGTGTCAGACCTAGAAAAGATTCTTAGCACAACCTCTTGATTTATATTAGTGCAAACCAAGGTTTATGGAAACAAGCTATTTCCCAAAGCTGTAGGAGAGTTCCAGAGAAATCCATGAAAAGATTCCTGCCCTGTGGGATCTCTATGCGGCACTACTTCTACCCTGCCTTATCTCTGTACTTCCAGCTTACTGTTGACCGTTGATGCTGTGCCTGGATATATTTAAGTTTCTGTTTGTTTATTGGTGGTACATTTTAAAGTATATTTCCCTAATAAATTTGTCACTGACATCTTTGATGCCCTGAACCTCCAAGGTCTAAGTGCTTATATCTTAAAACGGCCCTTGACTAAAGAAAGTTTAAGCTAAAAGATACAACAGTAGAAATGTGAGAATGGAGACCAGAGGTTTCAGACTTGCACGGTTAAGACATTAAGTAATTATTTAATGTCTGTTTTTCACATAAGGTGTCTACTGCTAAGTTTTGAAGCTCTCTCCTGCTTCTTTCTCTCTCTCTCCAGAACTATACTGGGCTTGGTTCCGATTGAACAGTCAGTAATATTGGACAAATTCCTCAAATAAGTCATCAACAGATGAATATCTTTCTAAAACTGTCTTTGCTAAGATAGTATCTATAGAACAAAGTAAAATTTGCATTTTTGACATCAATACCAGACTGTTTACATGCATAAGCAAATATAACAATAGAAATGATAGATGATTGCCTGCTACAGGGTCCAAGAGGTGTCCTGGTTCAATGTGCGTAGACTTCATTCTTCTTGAATCTCTGCGCTTTCCACTGCTTCTATTGAGAGCTCAGTTGGCTCAGGACAGTCACAGTAGCAATCAAGAACTATTGTATCCAAGGTTGTTTGTACAATCAAAAACTATTTTACCAAACAGCTGTAGCTCCTTTCCTATTTATTGGCCATTATTATATCCCAGAAATCTAACTGGTCACTTATGTCCTGTAAAAGAAATGAAGCTCGGGCTGGGAAGGTGGCTCAGTGGTAGAGCGCTTGCCTTGCATGCCTGAGGCCCTGGGTTCGATTTCTCAGCACCACATAAGCAAACAGAAAAAAGCCGGAAGTGCGCTGTGGCTCAGGTGGTAGAGCGCTAGCCTTGAGCTGAAGAGCTGAGGGACAGCGCCCAAGCCCAGAGTTCAAGCCCCACGACCGGACCCAAAAAAAAAAAGAAAGAAAGAAATGAAGCTCATGTTTAAATGAGTGGTTTCTGGAAGCTTGAGAAAGTTTATTAAGAATTTAAGACAAAGCTGGGTGTCATTGGCTATAATTCTAGCTACTCAATAGCCTGAATCTAAAGATGGCAGTTTGAAGTCAGCCTGAGCAGCAGATTCTTAGACTCTTATCTCCAATTAACCAGGAAAAAAAAAGCCAGAAGTGGAGCTGTGACTAAAGGAAGTGATTTGGCCCTGATTTTAAGTCCCAGTACACACACAAACACATTCATGTGTGCATGTGTATACATACACATGCGCACACACACACACACACACACACACACACACACACACACACACACACCACAAAACTTAGGACAAAACAAGAACAAAAGTAATATTCCTACAACATCTTTAAATATAATAGATACTGCAGATGAAACCTGGTTAAGAAATAGCACCAAAAGAGAGAGAGAGAGAGACAGAGACAGAGAGACAGAGAGACAGAGAGAATGATATTAAGTTCAGCAGAAAGGTCCATGGATGCTCATGAACACAGACACTTGTATCTGCTGCTGCTGCTTCTTAATCTCCTGGACTTGATCATTTCATTCACACATTTCACTAAAGGGGCTCATCACTCCCAATCTGAAAGGAAAAAAAAAGCCCAACAAAATCACAGAGACACAAGCTTCCCAGCCAATAATAATAAGGGAAAACTGCACTCCATTATTTACCTAAGCCCTTCTATTTACTAAAGCCCCATATGGAAAAGCATTTGACTTCCCCATCTTAAACAGCATGCACTCAATTATAAAGGATTCTTGCTCTTATAACTCAAATATAAAATTCTATATGGAGATTAGAGAACCAAGTACTAAGAGGACAGACTTGAAAAATGGCAACTGAGCCAAAAGTGTTGAGCCCAATGGTTAAAAAGCAACCCCCAAATTATTGCAGGCTTATTTCTGTTAAAAGGCATGAGACCGTTTCTCTTGGAGTAGGGATTCTCGGAGGAATGAGACTCTGTTCCAGGCCTGGCCTTCTCTTTTCACCCAGGCAGAAAGGACAATAAGTCTGCTCCGGGTGACAAGAATCTTTCAGCTAAAAATGTGTGAACCAGAAGCATCTCCTCTCATCTAATCACACAGTGCCAGGCCAGAGGGGTTTTTAGTTACATAATTTGGGGAGTTGGCCAAGCTTGCAGAAAGAGCTGAGGTTCAAAAACCATTGAATTAAGAAAAGATCATGTAGAAGTGCAGCCAATTCAAGTTTCCACCCTACAGGAGCATACCAGACAGTCCTCAGATTAACACCTCTCCTACAATGCAAATTCAGTAAATTCAACCAGTATTCACTGAAAGTCTGTGTGTCAGATTCCACTGACATTACTAATGCAACTGGAAAAGAGTTGGAAACAGAATAACCTGATGTCTTTTTCAAATGCAAGCTGTCCTTAAAATCAGAGCAGACCAAGCTTTAAAAACAATCTGGCACCTAATCTCAGCTTCTTTATTTACTAGCTGTTTTGAAAAAGAGGTTCCTAATGTGGATATCCTAATGGATATCATAGTACTTTTTGCTTTTCTCCTTTATTATAAATAGCTCTCCAAAAATCACTGAAGTCACAACCATAAACATGAAAATAAAGAATATCTCTCAACAAGGAAGGATGATCCACCAGCCAGAAATCTGGCAAGCAAGCACACAGAGCAGGCAGGCTGCTTCCCTATTTATCCCCTATTGCAGCTGGCCCTATTCCCCTGCTCTAACTGTCTGAGCTCAGAGTCACAATCTGCTTGTGATTGGCCAGCTTGAACAGGGTAAAATGTATTTACATAAGGTGACTT